ACCGCGACGCGGCCATTTCGTTCCTAACGCACCACACCCGGGAGGAGCAGCCTCATCGAGAAACCCTTGTTGCGATTAGAACTCATGACAACCCAAACCCATCCTGCATGCCCAAGACGTGATGGAAGAGAATCTAACACATGTGTGGAAGAGTATAATTACCACAGAGTGAGAAATAATATTCTAGGTTGAAGAAAAAAGTGGAAGTATGTCTATTGGTCTAAAAAGAGTTGGAACGGCACCATTTATGGGATGAACCGATATTCATAATACATTGAATTGACTTTTTAACACTGATGCATTCAACTTTTCTGAGATATTGCTTAGTCAAATTGCCCTTTTAATTCAGAATTATCCAATAAGACACACCTCCATCACATGCCCATACCCATCCCTCTATGTATTGTTCCGCAACAGTTCCGGCTGTGTACGTACGAAGGTATACGTCAATAGAGATAAGGCTTTATTGCCACTTTTAAACGGCCACACTTTGACGAATTTGAATAGCTGGAGGAAGCTTTATAGGTTTACAAGTCGACTATTCTACTAGTATACTTGAAAATTGAATAATTCTCAAATTTCCATGTGAAAGTTTTGCTTTCATAAATCAAAGGTTGAAAATACCCGAAAAAGTAAATCACCATGGTGATGTTAATCCTGTTTTCATTAACCCAGTGGCTTCTATGAAAGCGGATTTAACACCAAAAGTTAGTAAAAGTCTTCTAACATTTCCAAAAGATGTTCTTTCTATGTCATATACTATCACATTTGAAAGAATACAGCAATAGACTTATCGGCGCATCAATTACTATGTGCTAAAATCTTTTATAAGAGCTCATTACGAATTTGCTTACTTTACTACTGCTACTACTACTTACTACTTTACTTTACCTTACTTTACTTCACTTGGCGATTTACTGCATTTAAATGATGACTAACTCCTCTGCTGCCCATAATTTGAGCAACTCTTTTGAAAATTGCTTATGATTTTTAATTGGGAATTTTTAGATGTTTGTAAGAAAAAGGAAGGATAAAGATAAAGGAGCATAAAGCATTCAGTACGCCTCCTCTTCGAGTGCGCCACACATTCGAATACATTCCGAAAATAAGATTTTCTCTAAGTGCGTACATTTATGACCTATACAGTGACTTTTTTATATTACTTTTTTTCCGAAATTATTTTTTGAATCACAGAGTTTCTGCGCAAAAAGTTATCTTCTTCCATAAAGGCGTTTGGATAACCTGCATATGTAGGAAAAATGGATGGTCGATATGTTTGAGAACAAATCGGAATCCCCATTGACTGATCATAAGTACAGTATATTGCTACAGTAGCACATATTAGCCTTATTGTTAGCCCAGTAGAATTATTTTTTTGACTACGTGCGGGCCCTAGTGCCCTAACTTTCTGTTAGGGAATAAAGCTTAGTGAAAACAAAAGAAACTAAACAATGAAAAAATGTAATAAATTAAGCATCAAACAGGGTATACAAAATTACTTTTGTAAGTAATTGGCAAAAAAAAGAAAGGAATGGAAAAGAATCGGTAAGGAGGAAAGGAAGGAGCTTCATCATCAAATCACTGTTGGTAAAAATGCCAAAAGTAGCCAATACTGTATAGGAATGTCTTATAAGTAAGATAGCTCTATTCATTTTTTAGTTAATCCTTTCGGAAAGGAAGAGATCACACTTCATTCAACATGAATCGATTGCTTTTACTCCTCCATTTCATGAAGTCTACAGCTTCTGAAGTTTTCTGCTTTAAGGGCTGAGCAAACTTCAATTATTACTCAGGAGTTGTTTACTGTATGAGTAAACTTTTTTGTGATATGCTCTAGTCACATTCTACCTTGCCTTCTTCTTTATGGACCTCTTCAGAAAACATTTCTATTTAGTAAGTTGACAATCTATTTCTCTAGAAATTCATGAATATTGCTCAAACTTCGCGAGATTCTACTGAACAACCCGGATTTGGTCCTTTTCAGTACGTAAGAAGGTCACTGTGATGAAATGAAAATGTTAATCGGCATTGTTTCGCGTGCTCGTCATAAAAATAGTAAATTTTGTAAATGAATAAATAAATAAGAAAAATTGTTACAGTGTCACTCACATCCGCTCTCGATACTGAGCTGTTCGAGTTGGTGCTCTGGCAATTGTGAGCTGGCTTGACCCATGTTTGAGCGTTGACTGTGTGACGGACTGGTCCGCTTCGGCTCCTCCGACCGTCCGTCTCTGCACTACGAGCTTTCTACTGGCCTTATCAGTGTGATAGTAGTGGTGATATGCCCAGACCATGTCATCCATTATGTGCCGAGAAGAGGGATTTCATGGAGGTAAGAAATTCCATGAGCACCTAAATAGGAATTCTCAGTTAACAGTTATTTTACAAATGCATTATTTTACAATTTTTTTTCGGAGTTCTTTTTTATTTTTGACTTCTCGTTTTCTTCACTGATAAGAAACCATTTCTCTGCCTATGTACGTCACACTGAAGTTGCTTAATGCATTTTTAACGCCGCCTTGCCTGATGTCTTCGAGGTTTCCTGAATCAGCTCGAGATCGATCCTCACCCCTGATGAAATCAGGGAGTGATGAGTAGGTATTTAGAGCCTGGCGCCAGTGAAAGGGCCTTTGCGTGGTTCCATCCCGGAACTCGCCCTTCACACCCTGAAAACAACCTTTATCATTTGCCTCCGAAGAATATCAAGTTGGTAATGACCTAGAGAGCCAATCTGTTCATTGGCAGCAGAACACTACCCATACCAAACCCGTAGCTCCTTCCGTACTCCCCATTACTGACACAGCAGGTCAGATGCTGAGAGCAAATGTCCACTGCAGGGATCCCTTTGAGATAAGCTTCATATCCGTAGTCTGCCGTAGATGTGTTCTGCTCACTTAAAGCGAGAAAAAACAACAGTTGCTTTTTAGAGGTTAAAAACGGATGAACAGGGATTATGTTCTCTTGGGTAAGGTAGAAGGAGTAAATCGAGCCTAAGCCATCCATAGCTGTTTTTTCTTTATTAACAAATACTTTTACAACTCATAAAACTGTGCACAAATCCAAAAAGTCGCTCTTTTATGGTTTTCGCCTGTGATGACTGTTTGTTCAAGTGATTGAACACATACAAAAGCATCGCCATTCAGGTGTACCCAGCACGTTCCGAGAAGGACTTTTACGCAGGTTACGATCCGTGGGTAGGAATAGGAACGGCCATCGTACTTGCGTTATTCTTTTTCGTCATAACCGTAAAGTCTTGTGTACATTATGTGGTACGGAAATGGAGGATGCATCAGTTCTACAAGCAGACACGGTTTGTCGAACAGCCAGTCGATGACGAGCACCCGAACGCCGAAACAGCTTGAGGTGAGTATTAAAACTTGCATAACATCGAGCAAGCCCTTCGAGATTTCTAAAAAATAATGATCAACCCTGATTTCTTATTTCAAATTCTACCTGTTTTCTGGTCACTTGCTAACTGCTGAGGTCTCAAAATACTAGAACTTGCAAACTGGCCAATTTGTGGGGCGTTCCGAGAGAGTGTGCAAGTGACATGCGTTCGACAATTCTCAAAATATCTTTCAGTAATTTACAGCTCGGGAAATCAATTACAGTATTTCGCGTAGGAACTTCGTTTTTAATTCATTTCCGAGTTCACCGTTTCATTTTGAGCAAGCTTGTTAATTAATGCAGCTAGTACTCCTCATTAGTAGCGCTGAGTGGGTGATAAAAATGACGGTAGGATGGTATGGTAGAGGAGCTGCATCTCATTTGCATTATTCATGGGATCGAATAACTCTAACCTGAAGAAGCTATTCCGGAAATGGGAGGAGGCGCTCTCAGAACAATGGACAAGGATTCAACTATGACGTTGCATGATGGATAGCAGAAACCCCAAAAAACAAGTCTACAAATATCGATGAAAGACGGAAGCATGGCGCGGAGGACTCAGAAAAGATACTCAAAGCTCCACCACAGAAGCAGTGGTCTCCAACTGATCTGACCTTCATCACCTGTCGTCCAACTGATCATTGATTCCCCGAGCGGGCACCAAAAAGCCTAAATTCATCCCTGTCGCAAGCCGTAGTTGTCCAGTAGATAGCCCTCGCTCGAGGTACTCGAGGTATAACAGTCCTTATGTTCGGAGCTTTCATGAAGTCTGATCATCGCGCTGACGGCCATCCTGGTGTTTGTTTGACGTTCTGGGAGATCCACGTAAGAAAACCTAATTAACTGCACTCCCACAGCTGCTGTGAAAGAGGTCGAATCTAATAGTTTTCAAGGAAATAGCCTCGAAGTCCGTTATTCTATGAAAATTCCGTCATCAGCTTCGAAGCCAACAGCTTAACACTTCTTCCGAGTAATTGGCGCAATCGATGTTCTTCTATGACATCATGCACGTGGGCTCAGAGGCTCTGCATCCATTCATTAAGTGTGAAATGGCTTCCATAACGGTCGGGATGATCTTACAACCATGGATCAGTTTTTGATTTTGATTTTAAAATATACCTCCAGAAACTCTGGCATTCCTTACTAGTCTGATAGACAGCGCACAGTCCGAAGAAGGGGCTTTTTTGAAAAAAAAAATACCTAGGTAAGGGTTTCCCATGACCATGAGAAACAAAAGAATCCCAGACAGCCCAAAAACATTATTAAAGGCATGCTTTATGGAAATTGGTCTCTGAGATATCCTTCGCATCCAAGTATGTCATGTGTTGTGCTCTTTGATCGAGAGAAAGCCTAGATAGGACGTAGTAACTGCTCAAGGATCGCATCCACTGTATGTCACGCCCAGATGCGGACGGGTCTCTGCGGTGTTGTAGATGCTGCAGCATTCACCAGTGAAATCCATGGTTGAAATTTCAACAAATTACTCGTGACCAGTAGGGAGAGTGAAAGGCTATTTTGACTCAATGTGGCCAGCTCTTAATGTAACTGCAACAACTCCCGCCCAAATACACCTTTCGTAACATTCTCATACATGGTAATTTCGTACAACCCCTACTTTCAGTGCTTCAGAGAAGCCTCATATTCTACGAATGCTGCCGGCTTTTTCGCTTTCTTCGCCACGATTTTACCTCGTTTCGGTCTTGAAAGGGTACCGTACCTCTTAATTGTGGTATATCCCCTTGACGCAACATGGTTATGTGGGACTCTATTAGAAGCACACTTGTTGCATTCCTCATCCCAATCCGCCCAGCACATTCATTTCCACTAGTTCACCCAATCCATGCTCTATTCATTAATTTTTCATTTTCACGAGTTTGCATAATTCTCACATTGCTAGGAGACCGAACAGAGGCTTCAAAAGAAGTTCAATTATTAAGATGCTCTGAAGCGTTCACGTACTCTTTCTTTCGATTGTTCACCTCCGTCACATCTTGATATCATTGCCAAGGAGGTCTCTCGCCTCACGACAATGGTCACCGGTATCAGCGTCCTGATGCATCCGGGAATCGGGAACAGAGCAAAATAACCAGTCCTTCTCTGAAGAATCGAGCGGCGCCTGCAACTTTGCAAGTAATTTAGGTTGGAAGATAAGTCCTGCGACACTTTGGACGAGTTTTTGTATTTCATATTTCCTTATTAAACGAAAACTTCAATCTACAATATAATCACCATTATTATCTATAACTTGTGCCCATCTTTCGGGTAGCTTCTCAATCCCTCTCTTCCAGAATTCTGGTGGCTGCGACGAGAAAAAGTGGTCGATTTCATTTTCGACTTGACGACGTTCATCAAATTTTTTGCCGCTTAGATGGTTCTTTAGTGCTCTGAATAGGTGGTAATCAGAGGGCGCTAGGTCTGGTGAGTAGGCCGGATGCGGCAGTACTTCCCATCCTAGTTCCATAATTTTTTGACGCGCTTCGGTGGCCACATGCGGGCGCGCGTTATCGTGAAGTAGGAAGACATTGAGTCTTTTCGGGCGTAGTTCTCGCATTACGTCGGCCACTTTTTGCAGCTGGTTAGCGTAGACTGTGGCCGTCACTGTAGTGCCACTGTCAAGCAGCTCCCAGTAGATCATTCCACTACAGTCCCACCAGCAGCACAATAAAACCTTCTTCTCATGGAGGTCTGCTTTAGGCTCCGTATGTGGCTTCTCTTCTCGCGCAGTCCAGTGGCGCTTACGCGTATGGTTTACGTAAAGCACCCAGCTTTCATCTCCGGTCACTATGTCTTCCAATAAGTCCTTTCGATGGGGACGAAGCAGAAGAGACTCAGCCACGTGCATCCTGTTCGTCTTGTCAGACAGGCGTAGTTCATGAGGAACCCATCGTGAGAATATTGACCTGTAGCCAAGCTCGTGGAGATGCTCAATAACTGTAGTATGGGTGCATCCTATTGTTGTCGCCAATTCACGGCTGGTCGCATTAGGCTGCGTCTGAAGGGCGCTGAGTAAACGCTCATCATTCCACTCCGATGGGCGACCACTACGTTGTCTGTCCTCGAACAAAATTTCTCCGGCAGCAAAGTGCTTGTACCATCGGGACACCGTCGAATGGTGAACAACGTCCTTCTTGAAGGCAGCGCAGATGTTAGCTGTAGCGGTTCTCGCAGAGTGTCCCTGCAGGAATTCGTAGTAGACAATTGGACGGATGATAGCTTGATCCATTATTGAGTGTAATGGCTCAAGATTCTTCGCGAAGCACTTCTATGTCCATTTTTGAAATCCTTCAGGAAAACTCTACAGTAATCGGGCGGGAAAACATTTGGAAAGTGTTTTGGTTTTTTCCTGGAGGAACATGTTCAAAGTGTCGCAGGACTTATCTTCCAACCTAATATAATCAGATCAATATTATATAGAAATCAAAGTCGATAGAATTACTCCTCCCCTTCAATGGCAAACACAGAAGCTCGAAGAGCTCGTCATAGAGCATTCTCAGCCATCTGAGGATTAGGAGTTACCTGAAATTTTCGTTACTGGAAATCATAATGTCGGAGCGGGTTCTATAATGAGCAAAAAATCAGGGACTGAGGGACCTTTGACCAGTTTCCTAAGATTAGAATAAGCCATTCATTTGATTTCCAATGGGAAATCTCTATACGATGGAACATTCGAAATGATGCTTTCGAAATGATGAAATGTAGTTGAGTCACCGTTCTCAGTGGTCCCCACCTCCACCACTCCTTCCTTTCTGAGGTTTACAACTTTTTTCTTTACTAATGTAAGCTGATAATAAGAATCTCTACACTACGATGGTCCCGATTGATAGCAATAATAACTCAGATCAGATTTGTTCAGAAAGCCATCGAACTTAAGCAGTTCCGAAAGCATTCTCAAAGGATTTCTGATTCTACAAATGAGCTCTAAGACGCCTTTACTGACCTTTTAATCGATACCTCAATTGTGAATATTATAATTACAGCGTAACAACAAATATTAATACAAAGATTAATGGAGTAGCAAAAACCAAACTTCCTAAATTGTCATATTATCATGGCGAAAAACCTCACCGAGTGAGTATACACGTCGAATCTTAGCGCATCTACATCTACACAAAAGGATAAACAGTAGTGTAAGCGAAATAATTGATCATGGACAAAATTGAAGCTATTCTGAAACAAATCCCTAATCATCAATGTGAACTGAATCTAATCACAAACACAGAAATACAGCTACACCATCCACAAATAACTGATTTCTTCCCTAATAGTGAGTGTAGGAGCACAAAGGCAGTGCTGAGAAATCGCTACAAAGCGGCGGCTTCACCTCCGACACCTGGGTCCGTTAATCTTACCCCATTTACGGTGGATCGCTGCCAGACCTTAAATATCGGCGATATACCAGCATGAGGAACTAATCGATTAAATTACTGATATACCCGACCCATTCCAGTTCAATAAAATGTCCCTTTAAATATCGATGTACCGTGAATCGGACTTTACTTGCAGGACGAACTTAACGGGTTTAAAGGAAAGTACATTAAATTGTCACATAAGCTTTACTGGCGAAAACGGTCCTATGCATGTCGCTCAAGACAGTAGCGTTGTCCCAGCTAACAATCTCAGAATCACAAGAAAATAAGCATCATCACTATAAAGCCTCCAAGTCCACGTGTTGGATATCCGGATGTTTCTTAGTGATTTCCTTCTCGATTCGATCGATTTCGTCACCAAGACGATCGATGATCTTCTCACCATGCGTCTCCATAAATGCTCCTAGTTCTTTTTCATCTTTCATCTCTTGAACTTCCTGGAACCAAACAAAATTTGAAAATTCTAGACATAATGACGATAATGTATTAATTAGTAGACATTCAATACACTCACTTTCAGGAGTGATGGCATGTGAACGTTTTGATTCAAGTAGGCACGAGTGATTTCACGACCATTGAAATCCAATTCGGCCTTAAACCGCGACTGTTCCACACCGAGCGCCGTCGCCTTTACGTCGTGCACCGACCTGAAATTCACACGGGACCACTCTTCATCATTCATCAAATCCAGTTCCTGTGTTATCATTTAGGATAGAATCGTGATAACAGTGAACAGATTGAACCTATTCCTTTACCCTGGCACATTGCCAAAATGTAGCCCTCACTGCCTCGAATAGCATTTGTTCTTACTACTACATTTAGTCCAATCCGAAGAGAATAATCCACATTTAATTCAATATTAGGAATTGAACGAAGAGACCACACAGTAGTTGTTATAGCACCAACCGAAATATAAGTTTTGCCTTGTATGACTAGTACTTATGATCACCGGTATCGATCGCTACACCAGCACAAATGTTATTCTAAGGGGGAATGAACTTACGTACCACCTCCAAACCCGATGGCAATCATGTATAACAACCTAGTGGAATAAAAAAAAATCAAGACCCCAAACTGTTGCTCAATTATTACCCAGTATTCTCTTCCACGGTACGCACCGTTCATACGATTGGAAACAGTTCATCTCTCTACCAGTATGAAGTTTCCCTTTTAAAGCCTAATCTTTGATTTTACTCTCGAAATCCCTCTCTGTTCAACTAGTTCAGTAATTATTTGTACAATTTGTCATGCTCCAGTCTCTTTACGGGTATTTTGTTGCTAGTTTTGAATTTGAATTTGAAGGAATTCTAATGAAGGTTATTGTGTTGTAGACTTGTTAATCAACTTGCCGTATAACTGGATCGTTACTCAAACGACACACGATATCATCAGTTATTCGTTTCGGCAAACTTCGTCCAACAAGATGAGCGGCGTTAGTTCGAATAATGAACGAAGCTACAGTACCTAAACATCTTTAATTCAGTACTGCTAGATACAGCACTCCTATTCACCACTCCGAATCAGTCATTGACCGAACAATTAGTAGCGGGTAACCAAACCACTGTGCCGTGTTAATCATGCTAATTCTACCTTATAGGTGGAAAACTTATAGGCGAAATGTAAGTTAAAACATAGGCAGAGATGGCCTTGGACCTCCTTCTGAGAAGAAAATGCTATGAATAACTGAAAGAACAACAACAACAAGCAAAATCAAATCAATGCAACAAAAATGGCTGTGTTGGCTTTAAACTCTAATCCGTCACGTCCTTCATAGCGCAGCAGCCTGGAGCAATAAGAACGAATGCCTGACCTAAGACATCGGATCTTCCAAAAAATTATAGACGTAGTGATGACAGAGATTGGTGACGATTTTTGGATTCAATCTTGGCAAAAGTAAAAAAAAACTCCACCTAACAAACAACCAATCATTATAGACCCAATCGAATCAGGTATTGGTGAAGCGAGAATCGACGACAATGAGACAGCGCAGAGAGCAATCGCCACCTAAAAACCACCGAAAATGTCTACTAAGACTGCGAGCGCAAACAAAGCAATGAACTATGTTAATAACCTGTGATATCACCGATTATAAGTGAGTTCTTGAAGACTATATTAAGAAAATCACGTACTCCCGATACTGCAGCGGTATCCTCGAGTAAAACGACGTTCAGTGATGGATCTGCCGAAGTACGAACTAAATGGAAAGAAAACAATATTGACATGAAATTGAAATCTGTGCAGGAGTCCTCATAGAGACAACCACATCGCTGATTTCTACAACTGAATCCCTATTTCCAATATATAACTGCGGATGAAAACTGGCTCACGCGGCAGAATAGCCAATGCTAAGGCATAACTCCTTCCCAAGAACATAAAAGGATTAAGTACAAAGTCTGGCGTTGATTAATCCCGTTTTTGGGATGCGCCCCGTATTCTACGTCCATTCATAATCATAGTGGCGGTTGAAATGCGTAGCTGGCTTATTTAGTGACTTGAGGAGGCAAGCCGATATATGTCAGTGCTTCCATCCTCTCAGACAGTCGTGGACCAAGTAACAGCTACGTAGAGATGGAAGAATTGGTCGATCTGAGTGAGTACGGATCCGTGGGATCTTCTACAAATTCATGTTTCAAACCGATTCAAATGTTGATATGGGTATTGAAGGTTGCAACCGTCAAACCCTTACCTATATTAGATTTTGTTGCCCCAAACCGTATGCTAGACCACTAATATTTCACTGCATACCAAGCAGACAGCAAAGAACGTTGCGAAAATGCTCGAGCTCTGCTAATAACATATCAGTGAAAGTAACCAAGAAAACAAACCGTAATTCAAGATGCTAAGCCCAGCTCGCTTTGCTTTGTGCCTGACTTCTCGGTAAGCTGTAATTGCTGATGTTCCTTGGAAGCACAGGGACATGAATAAGGCATAATACGCCTAAACGGAACTCTTATTATTATCTCAGCAGTATGATTAAAGATATAATGAAGCTCAAATTTTCTTACTTCCATTTATCAATATTTGCGAATTGATTATTTATCATTGCGTTTATACCATGCGACTTAAAACCGCAGTTTTTGTTGTTTTCACTTTTTCTTTCTAGCTCCACGACCTCCACGGGCATGGTCCGTAATCGAATCTCCGGTTTTCCCCGTTTTTTCAGAGTAGATTCCTTGACACCCGACAAGTTCGGAAGGTTCAAAGCACTAACATGAATATCGGTTGAGTTAGCAAGTCATTGTATAGGTTAAAGGCACTCAATGCCAAAGTGATATCGAATGAAAGACCAGAATGAAGTCGAGTGCGTGAATGTCCATCCTGAGCAGAACCAATATGCTTCAGAAAGCTCAGGCCTATATTCATTTACGTCATTTTCCGTGACATTAGTTTCACCGACTTCTTTTCTGAACATGTGCCACCAACCTTTCCTTTAGACTCTAGCTGAATGTGCGACCGAAAAAGGAATCTCCGCTGAGCATACTATCATGAACTCTAGTCACGTTCAACAGCAAGCCCATCCCAACATCCTCGTTGGAGCGAGATGGTTTAGCTCTTTACATCACTAGCCGCGTCGATCACTACCACAGCCTAGAACCTTTTCATGGCTCTCGGCAGGCCCAGGAACACTTCCCTACAAGCCGTTACTGAAACATTCGTCACATCACCTGAACGTGACATCAAATGACTTTGCTAACCGTGCAGGGTGCGTAAGACCGCCTCAAACCGTAATCATGCACGCCTTTCATCAAGCCTCGAGTTCAAAGATCACCGCGGAGGACTGGTCATGACAGATCGTCCTTTTCCTGATTGAGAAAGACTTGAAAGCAGGATCTACGGTTGTCACAATACTTCTCATCACCTGCTGAATTATAAGGAAAGCGTATAACATGAAGCCGAGCCGACTTAGCAAAAGTATCAAATAAGTAAATATGCAAAAATAAATAAAACTCTACTGAATCGATGTAGAGCAACATTTCTTCCATACCAGAAGAAGAAATAAAATTAATCAAGGAAAACTCACGTAGTTTAGCGGCTCTAGTTCAGCAGGGTGCAAAAGACCCGAAACACCATGGTAAATCGAGAGACCGCAGCCGAATGCCATTATTCCACAGCCAGATATCAAGGATGTCACATAGCGCATATTACCTATATTAAGAATTATAAGGGATGAACCTGATAGAACATCAGCGAAAAAAGCACTAGAGCTGTATCCATTACTTAAAAGAAGAGGATGTGAGTGCCAAAATTCTTTATGTCCTGATACCAGATGAGTAGTACGAGGAAGGAATGTAAGAAAAGAACGGCCGGAATGTAAATGACACCATCGCACAAGAAGCTCGAGAGCACAAGGAGTATTGCAGATCAAGTGGAAGAACTTTTAGAGTAAAGTAGCGCAATATACTTACCATAACCATACGGAAAAAGGTTGTCAGGATTTCTTGCCGAATATCGTATACCCATCAGCAAAATCATCTGATTGCAGGTGTCCATTGTGCTGTGTATCGCTTCAGCAAATAATGACTTTGAACCGGTAAGATACGCAGCGGCATACTAAAGCAGTACTTCTGAGAGTGTAAGAATTATCCAATTTTTTTTGAAATGGTTCGACTGTTCACACCCTACTTTTGTACTTGAAAAGAACACAACATTGTTTGGAATACTACAAACTAATTCTGAATGCCAAACACGATGTTTGACGTCTATTTTCATAATCACTGCTTCTTAGAAGCCAGACTCCGTAGGCAACGTTGAACCACCTTCGAGAGAAGATAACCACTTTGGACTACAGCGACTGTTTTTCTAATATATCACCGTATCGCAGCAGTTTTTTATATTGATTTAACTTCGAACTAACCTTAAATGCTGCGTCGCACACGTTAAGAGTGAATGCGATTGCCACCACACGATCAGCACCTTTGCTTACAGAAGTGGTAGTTTCAACCTAAACTGTGGATGGAGAAGAAGAAAAAATTTCCATCTAGTCCACAGCTCAAACTCGAATGAGCTTTTCGAGCCTTTGCAAGGAAGAATTTGAGCCACGTTCTTGCTTATCGTTATCACTCGAACATGTGAAAAGTAGTGTTCGTAAGAGGCAAAAAAATCACTTTGATTTTCATGGATGCGCAAGGGACCATTACTTTAGTGGAAAATTAGATATAGTCTGACAAACTGAAGTTTAGCTAGGGAACGGAAGAACTTCAACTACGCTACTCGCGATCCCGAAAACTGTCAGGAAGTTTGCAAAATACCTACACACTAAGGAACCGTCATAGCGTAGCAAAAGCACGTACTCTCATCCGCATACGCATACGTTCAGCATCCGTCAACTCCTTCCTCATTGCTATCAGTGGCCTACGATGTGCATCTAATGCTTCAGGACTTCCATGTACCTGGATTATTTTAAAAAAACTAATGGTGATTTCGAAACATAATTACGCATTGACTGAAGCAGAATAATAACTGTGAGAAGTACCTGAATAGCTTTGTGATAGACATCTGTTAAAACATACAGATGCCGGCTACGAAGTGGATATGAGCCACTTTTTACAGGAACCGGTTCTGCAGGTAAGTCGCGAAAGTCTTCTTCACTAAATCAAAATCTTCGAGATAAGAACGAGACGTCATACATATATCTCATACAGCGAAGAATTTGGAATTAGTGAATGAAAAACAAAACCGACGTATTAAGAATAACTACCGTAGGCCAAACTCAGCCATGGCGCGGAGTTTGTCGATTTTGTCATTTTCATAGGATCTTGATTTCTTTGAAGGGAGAGCTATCTAAACNGGAACCGGTTCTGCAGGTAAGTCGCGAAAGTCTTCTTCGCTGAATCAAAAGCTCCGAGATAAGAACGAAACGTCATACATATATCTCATACAGCGAAGAATTTGGAATTAGTGTATAAAAAACAAAACCGAAGTATTAAACATAACTACCGTAGGCCAAACTCAGCCATGGCGCGGAGTTTGTCGATTTTGTCATTTTCATAGGATCTTGATTTCTTTGAAGGGAGAGCTATCTAAACACATCGAAATGAGACCTCAAAAGCTAAGCATCTAAGAATTCCTATTAGCGCTATTAAGCATATGACAAAGTAAGCGCATAACACTAAAAAAGATAAAGTCTTTTTAAACGCATACTAAGACCGGATAATAAACCCAAAAGTTATATCGCCAATATAGCTAAAAATTTAGAAAATGGTAAAGGCTCAGGTGTGCTCGATGGCTTCAACAACTTAAAAGTGTCTCAACTACTCAAAAGTAACAATAATAAGTTTGTAAAATATAAAAGGTGAAAATGTAGTAAAATGCAGTAGGGAGGGGAGGGGGAACGGTTGCCTCCCTCTTTTCTAGTATGAGCACTAGAGCGTGGAGGGGGCCAACCTCGCGAGCTTACAATGGTGTAGAACCGTTTTTTAGCAGAGAAAATATTTTTTAGCTAAGCCTTAGGAGAGGAGGACTATCAAGGTGTGAGGTTCAACTGAAATCCCATCCCAGCTTTCTACTCAGAGTATCATCTCACCCACTTCGGAGATCCTCCCTCCAAAGGCTTAGGTAAGAACTACATTCATTTGGCTAAGGGGATACACAAACCCTGAATAATCTCTTCTTGCTCCTAGGCCTCTGGCCGGGAGGTGAGCTGCCTGAGGACGTCGATGCGTAGCCGACGAGCACTCGCGCCAATGACGGTATTCGCCTCCCAAAAGCTGAAAAATCGCCTTGTTGTGTACATTAGTTGTATAAATAAATTTTTATGTTAACTCTGCTATTTAATAACTGAGTTGCTTGAATGTCCCATCGTTATAAACTGTAACCAGAAACTATATACTTGTAACTCCTAAGGTTTAGCAGTGATAAAGTCGAGTTGAAGGATGATCAAAAAAGTCTTACATAGGGATGTCAAGGAGATTCAATGTGCCGGTTTTCCAACGGAAAACAAATGAAAAGCTAGGGAGCTTTTTGAGATTGTGGGAACAGGGAAAAGTCGTTCCGCTCATAACGGTGAAGGTGGGTGAACATTTATAAATGAAAAATTTTGCAGCACACGTTAGCAGAGCACTGTTTATTGCAAGAACAAATAAAATACTGTCAAGGAAAAACCAGTCACTTACAGCTCTTTGCATGGGTATGAAGAATAGTCGCAGGAAGATGAAAAACTAGTGAAGACATGGAGTTAGTTTGTTCCTTCTCTCAGACGTGCATGAGTGATGACTGCGATTTCCTTCCAGGCTAAATTCCCTTCGGATTAATCAATAAGTGATAAGGCAACCAAAAAAGGAAAGCACGAACTTCAACACATAACCAGCTGCTCTTTCGACCCTCACGTAGCGATAACATGTTTTAAAGGATGCCAAATATCAGCCGTGGAGCGCGATGTGTAGTTAGAGCTGGCATGTGCGCTACTGGACAGAATATTTCAGTCTTTTAGAGCTTTTAAGCTTTCTGGTAGATTCAAGCCAGAAGGAAGAAGCCTATGTCTTTGAGATCCTACCAAATTATGGTTTTTTAGAGCGGGTCCAGATGGAATCATTCGGTGTAGTTTCACGTCCAAAAACATCCAATGTATTGCGATTACTCTCCCCAGGGAGGTGGAACCTTCACTTTTTTTTTCTTGCGATGTTTACCAAATCCCACAGAATCCCACTAATTCGGGAAATATTGTCTCCCTATTATCACTACTGATAACCGTCACGGAAGTGTCATAACTCAGCTCCTGTTAACTTCCTCAAGATTACTGTCTACAGTAAACCATTTTCTAGTCAGGAGAGAATACCCGTAAAAGATGCGAAATTTTAGCTAAGTTCTTCGTTAGCAGGCAACCCCGTTCATGGCACTCTCCATCTCTGAATCACATTTCCCTAAGGGCAGCTCTGGAGCGGGTGAACCAATCCAGAAATACGGACATTATATGAGGGATTTCAAGAAGCCTCCTTAATTTATAGAATCTTATTGAATTACAAACAAAATAAATGAAATCAATGCAAAATGTAGTTGTGATAGTAATCTTGAGAGCCGTGAATGTTAAGGAAGTGAATTTCGAGTAATCGCAGGAGGTCATGTGTCAACTATCTTTCTACCTCACGGAGATCCAGGAATAGAGCTCACCTTAGTGCTGGCTAACCAAGTTCATAGTTTTCCGAGATCGGTCAATTGGTAAAAGACACGTTCTAAAGAATAAACCACTCTTTCTTCTTCTTCTGTAAATCCGAAGCTCTGACGAAGGCGACAAGAACAGAAATATCGGCTGAACAAACCTTTACTGTCTCTTACAAGACTTCAGCTCCCTCTCACTCCCTAAGCATCCGCTGTGCTGAGACCACCTGAATTTGAACGTGGTATTGCTCTATTTTCTAAATTAGCTGACTTTCATTTTTCTTGTTTGGTAAAAGTACCGCAGAAGTCTTCCTATGACTCCGAATGGAAATAAAATTCGTGGGCGCATCTTACAAATACCGATGAATGCCCACAACTTTCACCTTTCTAAACACTAGGAACAAACATGTTCTTCGACTCAGAATTGACATAGTATAATGCGAAAACACCCAGAAATGAAGGATTTATTAGCATGAATATCTCCCATCAACAAATAATCCGGCAGTCCTTGGGACAAAATTGCATCTTACGTGGATCAAAACAAAGTCCCGCATTTATGTAAGGAAGACAGCTGAAAAAGAGGCTCTCATTCAGAGCGAAGTGCTCAAAAATAGGTTCTTTTACCTCGGTTGGACACGTTTGGTACAGGTTTTGGTCTTGGTTGGAATAGTTCTGGGGGACCATGGGTACTTCGTAGTAGTCGTAACCCTTGTAGGTGATGGCCGAGTTGTACGAGAAAGTGAAGGCCGAACCGTTCGAGAAGGTGAAGGCCGAACTACTTGAGAAGATGGCTGAGGCTTTCCTGCCGGAACTGAATAGAGTCGTTTCAGTACATAGGGCATATGTATTGAAGATCAACTAACATACCGTGACGGTAACGTAAAACCGTTTCTGATTTGAAAACTTTGTTCCACGTCATTATCGGAACCCTATTAGTGGATGAACGGAATGATTTTCCAGCCGCTTGAGGAGCACAGAACCTGATCGAGGAAGTAAGAAATAGGTGTCGAGTTTATATCATTTTATAAATACTACTTCATCATAGAAATAAGAATCAC